AATAAAATAAAATAATAATAATAATAATATATTAAAGGGGTCATACGATGCTGCTAAAAAGAACATTATTTTGTGTATTTGGTGTAATCAAATGTGTTTTTTCGCATAGTTCATTAGTTATTCTGTTTGTATTTCCTGTACTGGTAGGTCACAGAAATCTGTGACAGATGTATCTGTTGTCATGCCATGTCTGCAGTGTACGTCATTGCAATGTTCTTTCAAAGTTTCTGGGACTGATATTGTCAAATGTTAGTCTATGTACAAAAGTCTATGTATGTTGTAGTTGGTTTCATTTATGAATTAATATATAATAACTGTATATCATACACTACCATTGCAGTTTGGGGTCAGTAAGATTATATATATATATATAATCTTACTGACCCCAAACTGCAATGGTAGTGTATGATATACAGTTATTATATATTAATTCATAAATGAAACCAACTACAACATACATAGACTTTTGTACATAGACTAACATTTGACAATATCAGTCCCAGAAACTTTGAAAGAACATTGCAATGACGTACACTGCAGACATGGCATGACAACAAGGTGACACAGATACATCTGTCACAGATTTCTGTGACCTACCAGTACAGGAAATACAAACAGAATAACTAATGAACTATGCGAAATTAGGATCTAAAAAGTCGCTATGAAAGTAAACCCAGACAAATTACAGGGTCATATATCTAGGTCAAATACCAGCAGCTGCTGTCTGTTCATTAGCATTTGTGTTAATGGACAGCTGACATGATAAAGTAAGATCCAACAGGATCAAGTTGGAATACCTGGGTGTTTGCGGTGGGAAAGGACACTCCGTCTTCTTTGAGGGACTTGATGGTGGCACTGATGAGACTCAGCTGTGTGTCTTTCTGGAAATCTTCGGCCCACTCCACCATCAGGGCCTTGAGTTTCTCAGCAACCTTTGGGTGAACCTGAGGAGAAGAGACCGAGGATGGTAGACATTATCAACAGACAAGCAAGTTTATTATACTTTGAAACAAGGATTTGTCCTGTTGTATGTAATTACCCTTTAATTTATGCAGTGAGCTAAAGTTCCTTACCTTGTTCAACACACCACGAACTTCACTGGCAAACTCCCGCGAGCAGATTTCTAGGTGAAAGATTTTTCCACTGTTTGAAACGCAGGCACCCATCAACTAAATAGAGAAAATACAGCAATATTTGAGTAACCATTATTTGCATTAAATACATGTTGCCCCTTTGTAATATTATTAGAAAATACGGGATTATTTTCCACTGTTATGCTGATGATACTCAACTATATATCTCAACAAGACCAGATGAAACCTCAAAATTATCTAAGCTAACAGAGTGTGTTGTAAATGTAAAAGATTGGATGACCAAAAATTTTCTCTTATTAAATTCGGATAAGACAGAGATATTACTTATTGGACCAAAAGACAGTACACAGAATCTCTTGGATTACAATGTGCAACTAGACGGATGTACTGTTACTTCCTCTACAGTCAAAACTTTAATTGATTTTTCCGTACATTTCATATATATGTACATTAACTGACAGTCACCACTGATAAGCTACCACTAAATATTGTAGAAACTTAATTTGCTGTAAAGTTGCTTTGCAACGATTTGTATCGTGAAAAGCGCTATACAAATAAACTTGAATTGAATTTAATTAAAAAAAAAATTTTAATCAATGAATTTCCTGTTATTTGAACATACTAGATATGTATTTAAAAAAATAATTGATTCAGACTGATTTGCGAACAGGTATTTGTGAACAGGTAAATTCAAATGTATATTCACTAAAAAGTCTGGAAAATGTCATTTAAAAACGTCCTGATACTTCTAGGATTTCCATGACAATAAAAAGCAGTGATTGCACACTTGTTACATTTCTATAAATGTTTATGCTTCAAATGTGCATAAATGAAATGTGATATCATAATAAAGATTATTAATAATAATAACAATAATTCTGACAAGTATATAACTGTTTATTCTTTGAATATGTGTAAATAAAATGTAGACACAAAATAAAGATTCATAATAATGATATTAATAATAATAATTATTGTTATAGTTGTTATTGCACACTTGTAACATTACATTTCTATAACTGTTATTACTTTTAATGTGTGTAAATTAAATGTGACATCATGATAAATATTAATACTACTACTAATAAATTGTATTATTACTAACATTATCATCATTATTATAAAAATTACATATATTATTATTACAACAAATTCAGCAACTCAAAAATTAAAAATAAAGAGCACATCGACCCACTTTATTCCTTTGTAATACCTATGTAATACATTTTTGTAAAGATACAGCCAGATGAGAAAGAATTAGAAGATATCTAAAAATAGATTGAGACATCTATGCAGGCTGAGATTTTGGGGAGTGGGAGCCCACAGAGATGTCTGTCACTTCCAGATGCTACAGAGCGCTCTGGAGTTTTTACAGCTTTAGTTTCTTCTATACTAGTTTAGTGTGCAGTGACTATATGCAAGCCATACATAGGTTAATTGTCGTCAAGAACAGAAACACTGTGACAACTCATATCGCTTACTAAACTGTGGGTGTAACTCTGTTTGACTACAATGGGAACTGAAGATGAAGAGCTCACCGTTAATGCTTGCATGGCTACATGAGGGACCTTGTGGTTCACACGCTTCATGATTGACCTGAGACAATCCTTTGCACTATGACAGAAAAAAAAGAGAAAACGACAAAGAGGGGCATGAACATATTTATATTAGGGAGAGATGCACCATTTTTCTACATTAAAAAATACAATAATTAAAATTAAATAGAAATTAATATTTAACAAAAAAGGTATCTATATAAGAAGAACAATAATGCATACAAGCAACATTAATGTTATTAATTGTTACTAAAATAAGCATTAAAAACATATAGTTATTTAAATCTTGTTTGTATGCTGCTATTTCAGCTCACCCATTGGGAGTTGTCCCGACCCGGTCACAGATATCCATAATGAGGCACCAGTCCTCTGATGTGCTAGTTTCACTAGTTGCTTTCTCTGAATATGCAAATGAATAAGCATTCAAAAAAGACAAACTCAAATGAAACTCTCAAAGCAATTTTCTCTTATTACAGAGCCATATCATAACTTAAAAGTCAAAGTTTACACCAGCATGCTCAAAACCTTCACTTACCAAAAAGGCCATAAACACACAATACTGAGTATAATAATAATAATAATAAAATAATAAGTGTGAATATTATCTGATTTACATCCTAGCAATTGAAGAACAATTCTTTAATACATATTTATTAAGCAAGAGGCTTATATCATCCCGTTAAACAGACAAAGTAGCCTGTTTTGCCTGTTATTTTGCATATCCGGCTTGTCTCAACAGGCACAACGACCATTTCTATGATAATACACTAGTGTAGATTAGTTTACCCCTCCTTCAAGAATAAAACAACTTGGGCGCATTTGAATGACTAACATAATGAACACAGGAAAATTTGCATTGCGACATCCAGCAAAGTACAACTTGAAATAAAATGAACAACAACCAAGTGCTTCAAACTCCTCTACAGAGGAACATACAGTGTCACAAGTTCATACACAATAATCTCTCAGGACAAAACTATGAAAAGAAAAACATTGTTCATACTATTGTGTGTTACTTTTGACAAATTAACTCCTATTAATCTTTCAGTCATTCATGCTCACTGGAAATGGGTTAAATATATATATATATATATATATATATATA